TGACGTGGAAATAATCTGCTATATGAGTTCACAAAAATATTTGTTGTTATTTTTCGGAGGTTTTTGATGGTTTTAATAATATAAAAATCGATTACTAAACCTTCTCAGGACCTGCTTACATACATACCTACAGAAACATATAAATACAGTTCATGACTGAGATCTTCATTCTGGATCTTTAAAACAGGGCTTCACCTGACATGTGTCGAGTCGTTTTCAAACATTTATTACCCACGTTTCATGTAGATTATAATATATTTTTTTTCGATTTACCTTGTTGTACTTGTATATTCTTAAATAAACAATTCAATTTGTCTACAGAAATGATTGTCAAAGTAAAATGGCCGCCAAATTACAATCGCAGTGAAATTTCTCAGTGGTATGGTTTAATTTTAGTCAGAAGCATAAAGTAAAGGCGAGTGATTGGACAGAAACGACTGTGGTCAACTCGACCCGGCTGCCAGCTCAAACGTATTCAGATTAGTTGAGGGTTAAAAGGAATGGTTAGCCAGTATTTATTAGCTATTCTCTATTTGTTACTTCAATTGAATTGGGATTACGTAATTGATGGCGTTTAGAAACGTAAACTCAGACCAGAACGAGAATTTGCAAATTACATTAATAAGTTCAAATTTCAAACTCAAATATATGTTGATCTGCCGTGACCTATTTTAATTTTTTATTTGCTTTTAGAAACGTTGCTCCACTCTAGGATTTTCTTCTGTATCCTAAGTGCGTTTACAAGATCAGAAACAATAATTTTTGGATTACACAAAGAGTTGTTCCATGCGGAAATCGAACCCACGACACGTTGCACAGCAGTCAGTTGTCTAGCTACTGCGCCAACCGTGCAGTCAAGTCTAGTAGTGTTATGTCTATCAAATAATTCATTTTCATAAAAAAATACTATATAAAATTCATCTTTAAAATGTAAACTTTTCTTGATTTACGAAATTCTAGTTTTTACTGCACTTTTAGAGTTTAATATAAAAATATATAACCCTTGGCCTTCACACTTTCATTTCAAGCACAGTATCAGTGTGGACATTGGCTAAAATAAAGGGAATTTAAAATTCGATTTCTATGCAGATGCGGGCTCGGAGGAAAAACAAAACGCACGGCGAGCGCTAACGATACGTTTAATTGTAAAAGAGAAAATAAATATGAATTTTGCGTTACAAAAACTGTTGAAATCTATTTTTGGAAAATGTGTCATTTCAGCCTTTATTTTTAAAAAGGTAAAATAGTATATAATATGTTTACATTTTAGCAGATAGTTTCTTCTAGTTCCAGGTAGATAGGGTAGGGTCTCAAATATTTTTAGTGTATGTATGTTAGAGGATATCCGAAAAGTACTATCATATATTATGTTCTAGAGTGTAGCCATTTTCGAAAAAGGATAGGTCATTTGACGTTTTCGATTACACAGTAGTAGACGAATGTGTCATGTTAATCATGCTTACATTATGCAACTGCCCATATTTCATAGCAATATCCGTACCTCGTTTCGTTCATTCATTCATTCATCGTTCCTAGTTTATTTTGAAAATATGTCATTTGTATTTATGAAATGTGATTCAAAAGAGATTTCTTTTACACATTACGGTTCAGGCTCAGGTTCATTATTAAGGTTCAGTACTGCATATAATATTAATTAGATATATATCTTAATGGTGATATTGGATATATTATGTCATATATGTCAGGGCTGATAATTGAAACAAACTATAATTTGTTTAAAAATTAGACCCGAAGTATTTGGGGATGAAAATTGAAGCCATTTTAGCTTTAGAATCAGTCAGTCAGTACATCAATCTGTTCTAAACGATCTTATCTCTGTACATTTTCAACCTTATTACAAAACAGTAAGATTGAAAGTATGTACCTACTAATTTAGATTTGTCGCCACGCTGTCTGGACTAACACCCTACCAGAACGCGTTTGGCACTAACCGCTCATTGACACTTTTACCCTATAAAGCGCAATACAATGTTCTTCTTCTTCAGAACCATTAAATTTATAAACTTTGGCAAGACTTGACAGAAAAAGTTTATAACTGTGATTTTTATGATATGGCTTTTTTAAATGCTTTTTTTTATATATTGGCAGTGTTATGCTAAAGGGTGAAGGGTTGAAGGTTGATTGAAGAGGCATTAGCTAACATAAATATTCTTTTTGTCTATCTGTTTTAGACAGCATATAGACACTTAACTAACAAGTTTAATTTTTAATTAACCTAGATTTTAAATCTAACTAAATGTTTACATACTGTGTAATGACTAAACATGCTGAGCTTTAATAACTGTAACATCTTATTCCACCTTTTATTGATGCAAATAAAGATACCTATTATTAGGACTAAAGATGTTTTGTTAAAAGTTACTGAAAAAATCTAATCCAATCTGATCTGACTACTTGTCGAATCGTATGCAGCGAGTAAAGATCGGTGATCACCTGAGTGATGAATTACCTATCTCGCACGGAGTTCCTCAAGGAAGTATTCTTGGCCCTACTCTGTTCCTATGTTACATTAATGAACTATGTCAACTTAACCTACAAAACTGTAATATAATATCTTATGCTGATGACACGACACTTACTTTCACGGGAAATTCTTTGGAAGAAGTATATTCCTTAGCTCAATCAGGTCTTAACAAGGTCTGTCACTGGCTTGCTATTAACTCGCTCACACTTAATGCAGATAAAACCAAATACATTTTTTTTGTAATCAGGAACGCAGAAATCTTACAAGATATACCTTCCCTATATGTGCACCAGTGTTCATTTCCCCCACTACATCAATGTAGTTGCTCAACAATACAGCAAACGCAGAGTATTCGGTATTTGGGTGTCACCTTTGATAGAAGATTATCTTTCAATGATCACATACACACTTTATCTAAAAGAGTACGGAAACTTACTTATATTTTCAAACGGCTTAAACAGGTAGCAAATGGTAAAACACTTAAAATGGTATATCTAGCTCTTGTTCAATCTATCATAACTTACTGTATAACAACCTGGGGAGGTGCCATAAAAACCAAAATGATTGAAATAGAGAGGGCTCAAAGAATGATTCTAAAAGTTAGCCTTTCTAAGCCTCGAATCTTCCCCACTGCAGCACTTTACCACGAGGCTGAGGTTTTGACTGTTAGACAAATCTACATACTTAATACTATACTCCGGCAACATTCAGACGCATCCTCTTTTGACCTTTCTAAATTAACCACTAGGAGGCAGTACTTAGTATGTAACACCATTAAAGCTAATACAGAGTTTGCCCAAAAATTTTTTACATTTCGAGGACCCAGACTATACAATAAATTAAACAAAGAATTAAATATTTTCACGTACAATAAAACTAAATGTAAAATCATGATAACTAACTGGCTTCTAAAACTAGACTACGCAAAAACAGAAGAGCTGCTCGTTATTAAAAATAAAAACTGACCACATTACCCCATATTTTTTGCAGCATAGTCGCTCTCACATGCTACCTCCCTTTGCACGCCACACACACACACGTACACTACACCAAACACCCACACTCCACACCTTTCGCGAACTACACTACACTAAACACAAATTTTAATCTTTCTTTTGTTAAAGCTATTGTTATTATTGAATGCTTCGTAGTTTTCCTTTCTTCCATCAAATTGATGTTTTACATGTCACATTATTATGATGCTGTTTTCCTGTAGGGGGGAGTCCCTGGTGTCCTGAAATACAGGCCACGGCTTAGTTCAGGCACCAGTCTCCCACAAATAAACATTGTAATATCGTAATAACTATTGTTTTTCCATGTTAAGTTTTGGCTAATGGATGTTATTTGTGGAAGAAAATAAACATATATTACAAATATATTACAAAAAAAAATATATAATCTAATCTATGTATTTTTAATAGGTAACTGCAAATGAGAATAACCGTTCTGATAGTATGCAATGTACCTATGTATGGTGCCATCACCAAAAGAGTTATTAGGGCGTTGTCGGGCTTTTGGAGATCAGGATTTTCTGGATCAGGATTTTCTGGATCAGGATTTAGGAGAATAGAGATTTTGGGATGAGGGAGCAATCACACGGCAAAACAAAAGGCTACGATTGTTTCACGCCGGTTTTCTGTAAGGTCGTGGCCTGTATCACCCCGATCGAGCTAACCCATTTATGCTGAAACATGGCTCTTCACCACAATAACAAATAGCTCAAAATGGTAAGTAGTTACACTGTCTTAAACATGCACCAAAGTAATTTAGAAGTGTGTTCCTATCTTAAAATTTGTAATTTTCAACACTAACATCCACATTTGATCTAACACTACCCAAAAAGACAAACAAAGAAAGGGTTGTCTCAATCATATAAAGTCCCACAATAGTCTCACCCGTCACATTTACGTCGCTAAGCCGGCGACACTCAAGTCACGACAACCCTCGCGCCGAGTGCACTCGCGTCTAGTACTCAATACTTTCGAACTAACACGCTACGCCTGTTGACCACACCACTTTATCATAGAACCACTATTGTGTGTGTATTATGGTTGTTCAAGTTCCTCAATTACCAAAACATTTTAATTGTTTAAAAGTTACTGAATATCCTAGCAGTACGCACGAATTGAAATCATTCATCAGAACCGTTAAGATGTGAGTTTTTTGGCCTAAACAAATGGGTCTGTGAAATACCCGATCTAATAAGTCTAATAAGGTGGTCCATCTTAGTCATTGTCGTTACCATAACGCGGGAAATGTGCCTGTTGAAAGTTTAAAAGAAGCAAAATGGATAAAAACATGTCCAAAGACACTATTTATAAATCTTGTATTCGAAAGTTTGTCGATATGGAGAGTCTAGTAAATTAATAAAGAAAGGTTTTTACACTGTTCTTTAAATAAAGTAATGTCAGTTCTTCTTGCCTTCTTCTTCTCTGATAATGATAATATGTTAGGAGGAATCCTCGGTAACTAGATACGAGTATATTTCAATAACATAAGCAAAATGAAAACTCACGTGCATAAGAGAAGGGAAGTCCATCCGACCATCGGAACTCGCCTTCATGGACGGCATCAGTAGCTCCGATCCAGTACACGTCGTCTACTCCAGCGCCCGGACTGTGGACAACACGTTATTTGACTAAGTAACACTACTTATAGCTCAGTCGTGTAATATTTCGTGACTGGCGATAAAATACTTACGCATGTATAAGTAGTTGGTCCATAATTTGCTGTTGCCTCTCATTCAGCACACTGGCGAGGTGCCCTCCCAACCTAACACACTCCGCCTCCGCCTGTCTCCACGCCTTCTTTGCCTCTCGCACCGCTGATATGCAAAAATCTCCAGACAGCACCCACCCATAGTCACAGTGCCCCACGATGCTCTCTACGGCTTTGTCCATCCACCACACTTTTAACCACATGGCTGAAGTATCCTTCTTAGCAGTTATACTTATATTCAAACGCACTAAATTTCCTTCTGATACAATTTGAACACTTCTTAAAGGGTCGCCGGGCTGGGAACAATGCTTCCACTTAGAGTCTCCGTCTTCTAAACTTAACTCCATCCCCCTACACAAGGCTTGCCCGTCTTCATGTATAATATTGGACACGTCGTTTTCTTTCGCATCCATTGGTCCAGTGCCCATCTGTAGCCGCAGAGCAACACGGTTGCCGTACGGCAGGTGGATCTCATAGGAACATGACAGTTTGACTGTCGGGCCGACTTCGAACGAGCCGTTTCTTCCCGTAAGTAGAACATCGTGGCAATGGTCTACTAGACGGTATACCGCGGCGAACGTGGGCCGGCCGTGTAGTTCTATGGCGGGGTTCTTAAACGATGAGGTGTAGAGGAACTTTCTGTTGGGGAGCGGTATTTGGTCCAGTTTGCCGCACAGAATGGGAGTATTGGGAGCGAAGCGGATGAACCCAGTGGAGCAGGGCACGTTGAGCTTGTGGAGCTCGATGAGGACGGCGCTGCGCGGGCCCGGCGTCGGCACCAGCACGCGGCACCCATGCGTCCGCGGCACGTGACCCGAGTGCACGCGACCCACGCGTACATTTCTTAGGCGTATCGCACAATCTGGAACAAAAATAATAGCGGTCATTTCAAATATTTTACCTCAAACAATTAAACTATAGCTCGGTCTTCTGACAATAGTATTTGTCTGTGGCTGAACTGTGCCATTGCCGAATATATTCCGATCGGACCAATTCACGAGATGTTACAGGGCTATAAATAAAACGGAAATGATAATGGAAGGTATATCCATTTGGAAAACGATCAATACAATTTCTATTTCAATGGAAAATAGCGTGATCTAGACTGAAAATTATTCAGCTGATTTAAATTCAAACGATTTTAGACGATCTTGATATCGGACGATATTATTGCAGGAAACTGAAAACCTATTATCGGTTACTTCATTCGTTCTTCTTTTGAATTTAAATATCTGATAAGTAAGTTTACACTTAAAGTGTTTTTTTTTAACTCAATATTTTATTGCATTTTTTATTAATAATGATTTTCGATGCGAAATTGTTTTTTAACCAGGCAACTAAAATATTTTTTTAAATAACTCTGAAATTTTATCCGGTCATGTGATCGATTTGCCAGTTTGAAGCTTAGCACGTCACATTGTGATTGATTTTTATATGCTGCTTAAACAAAATTTTATTATTATTGTCCCAAAAATGGTCAGCAAGCTTACTGTGTTCACACAAACGATATAGCAAGAGGTTCTACAAACAAGATGCCTTTACGTGCTGTTCCAGACTAGAGTTACGGCATAGTTGGGGAGAACAATGCTCCTTACAAGTCGCCACATAACTCCGTACTGTCCAAAGGGTGTGGCAAGCTATTAAGTTTGAGAAACATAGAGCACCATGATGATAATAGGAATGATCTACAGACTGTTTTAACTGACCTGAGTGCGATTGTGTTTATCATATTGTGTGCTTATAAACGCACCCATATTTTAAAGGAGCAAATTGTAGTGTGATGTACCATCATCAGTATAAGACTATAAGTGCTCATTGCTGAGCAACGGCCCCTTCTCAGAAGGAGGTCAGAAACACGATTGCTTAGTGACGGTTTATTCAATAAAAAAATAAGTCGAGTATGTAATTCTATTGTCTGTCTTTTGGATTTATTTAAAACACTACGACATATTTTTTCATTTCTTAATTAAACGTTTTCGATGGTATATGAACATTAATCACTACGGTTGCTCAGGAATATTTCAAACTTATAACTTAAAAGTATGAATCCAGGTTTTCTTTACTATGTTTTCCTTCACCGTCCTGCACTCGTCAGTGGTGTCTAAACATTCTTAGTAAAGTATATAATTTGGAAAAAGTCACTTTGGTTCTTGCCAGGTTTGGAACCCGCACACTCGGGGAGCAGTTACCATAACCTTCAGGCTACTAAGACGACACGATTTTTTTTAAATCAATAAAACAAACCAGAAAGCTATTTTGTAAATAGACCATAAACAATACTTCTAAACTTCAGTAGCATATAGTTATGTATAAAAAACTTTGAGGTCGGATATCGATTTAAAAATCTTTTCCTTGCAGTCAGTCTTTCTCAGCATTTAAAGCTGTTCCCTCAACGTATATTTTAATTATAAATCAACAGAAGTGGAAGTAATATTTTTTTTTATGTAATAAGTCGGCAAATGAGCAGACGGATTACCTGATGGTAAGTAATCAGCGCCGCCCATGGACACCCGCAACGGAGGAGTAACGAGTGCGTTGTCGACCTTTTAGGGATTAGGGTTTTGGAGATTTAGGGATTGGAAGAGATCGGGGGAGGGGAAGGATTGGGCCTTCGGTAACCTCACTCACACGGCGAAACACAACGTCGGTATTCTGTGAGGCCGTGGTATCACTCCGGTCGAGCCGACCCATTCGTGCCGAAGCTTGGCTCTCCCACACTTATCACCACCTTATATGGATATACCACCTTATATGGATATACCACACTTATATGGATATTACCACTGACACTAATATGTATTGTATTAAGATAATTCAATTGACAATGTATTAAGCATTGGTGAATAGAGGTCCGTTGGTCATGTTCTTACATGTTCCACTTGCATTAATTATTATATTATATTATCAATATACTGAATAATATTAGCCACTGATTATATTGTAGTAATTAGGTGACAATAGCACTATGCTTGACATTTGAGTTATACATATATAAATTAACTCGTAGATGGAAGTTTGTACGAGCAATGTCAACACTATTCATACTAATATTATAAATGCGAAAGTAAGACTGTCTGTCTTTTCTTCACATCTAAACTACTGAACCTATTTGGGTAAAATTTGCTGCAGACGTAGTTTTTAACTCGAGAAAGGACATAGGATAGTTTTTAAACCAAAAATCTGCAGTAAGTCTACACTATTCCACGCGAACAAAGTGCGGGGGCAAAAGCATGTGTGTATGTAATTGTAGATATTAGTTATTGTTTTGTGACTCAGTAAGATATATGTAATTTGTAATCATCTATATGTAATTATGGTGTTTTAAAATTTATATGAGGTTTTGAGTTAAACTAAATTTAACGTTTTTCGACGACGACGTGCGTTATATACTTATAAATAACTTTGTACTTTCTGCCAACGTTTTCTTACTGACTTAATGCCGTAAACATTTTGCGATCCATTTGAATATTATAAGATTATCTTGTTGGTTTTGAACTTGCATTTTCACAGGTACATACTACCCACGCAATCCTTGTTAACGTGCTAATACCCTCAGGGAATCAGCTTGATGAAGGTGAGCGAGTCGGGTGTGTTTAATTGGTCCAATTCCTTTGAAAACGGTTTGTCCAGCTCTGGGAATAATACATAGGCAATTAAAGAAAACTTAAATCTCACAAAATCATTACATAAAAATTATAAAATTTTGGTTTAATATTAACATTAATTAAAATAATGATGAATATATTTTTAATTTACCTAGAAATGCAATTACATCAACTTGTAGCAGACCTCTTTACATACTTTTTGTAGCAAGCCATAAACGCATCTATGGCGCGACTGACAACCAGCACATCATTTTGAAATTTAAAAATTGTGTTTTTTCTTATTTTGTTTTTCATGTTGAACGGTATATATGAGCCGTGATTTTTAGATAAAATTATTCAGATCGTATTACGCTGTCTTAGGGCCGGTTTTTTGATCCGTAGTTAACCCAACCAATTGTTAAAAATCTTGACTAATGGTTAAATATCGACAAAATGTGTTTTTTGATCATTAGTTAGCTTAACTAATTGTCAAATTATTAACTATTAGTCAAATAATTTAACCACGGCTCGGTGGCGGGTTAACCAAGATGGCGGATAGTTAAACTAGATTCGACAGCTGATTCTTGCTTTGTTGTATAATTTTGTGATCTCATTCCGAAGAATTACATTTTATCTATAATTAATTTAAATATTGTCCGTTATTTTGATGCGTCAGACTCAGAAGATTTAAAGTTAGAACTGCGGTTTTCCTGGAAATTTATGAAATAATGAATAAAATACCACATAAAAATACATAGTAAAAATACCACGAAAGACAGCACAATATTTGAAGACTTATGGATGACAATTCAATAACATTTTTTTATGTAATAGTTCGGCAAACGAGCACACGGATTACCTGATGGTAAGCAATCAGCGCCGCCCATGGACACCCGCAACGGAGGAGTTACGAGTGCGTTGCCGATCTTTTAGGGATAAGGGATTTGGAGACTGAGGGATTGAGGAGGGATTGGGGGAGGGGGAGGATTGGGCCTCCGGTAACCTCACTCACACGGCGAAACACAACGCTGTGGTTGTTTCACGCCGGTTTTCTGTGAGGCCGTGGTATCACTCCGGTCGAGCCGACCCATTCGTGCCGAAGCATGGCTCTCCCACACTTATAAGACATATAAAGAAAGACATTTCCTTACTTGTTTCCTGACATTATTATTTAATAAAAAGTCCTTTATTTGTTGCAAAAAACACCAAGTTTAAGAAAACACTATAAAACCCATAGACAGAGAACAGAATAGACAAGTTATTAAAACAATAATAACGGTTAGAGCGAGAAAGTGCAGATGGAATATATGTAGGTGTGAGCAATACAAAACAATTATGTTTCTTGTCCCTTTTTAGCGTAATTATGCTTTATTTTATTTAAATCGAACCAATACAGTAAATTAATACGGTAAATTGCAGTGAAATTGGCTGTAAAAGCCGTAGTAGCCGTTTAAAGTACATACCTACCTATAATGTATATATAAGACATTTTTTATCTCACGTCGTATACGCTATTAGCTTCTCTATACCTATACTATCTCTATGATAAAACCAAACGATTCAGTTTGAAATCAAGACACTTTTGAAAGTTTTGAAATATCAAAAATGACATTTGGTTTAACTTCATTCATTTTTGATCAGTGTTGTCAGTTAAAGAAAAATACCCACAAATAAACACGTTTTTTTCTAGGGAGGAAGTTGTTCATTGCACTGGCAACAAATTAACCAATGGTTATGTTTGACTATAGTTAAAGTGGACATCAAAAAATGAAATTACGTAATAACAATTGGTTACCCTCTTGACTATAGTTAAGATAACAAATAGTCAAATCGTATTTAACTACGGATCAAAAAACTGGCCCTTACTCAACGCGCAACTCCTAAAAACTTATTTTAATTTCGTTCTATCGTGAAATATATGAAATTTATTGAAAACTAGCGACCTGCCCCGACTTCATAGTCATTTATATAGTTATATATTTCAGAATTGACCTCTCTACAGATTTATTATAAGTATAAATAACACCATTTGCTTACGCAAATTAACTGAGAAAATTAATTATTATGTTTTCGGCTTACTCACGTAATAATTTGTCGAGATACTCGACTAGTAGCAGCGCGACAGTAGCCGAGTCGCGTGTCGCGGAATGCTGCTCATGAATATGGGCCTCTAGCATGGCTTGAAACAAGTCGAGTATCTCGTCAAATTATTACGTGAGTAATCCGAAAACAATAAATAATTTAGAATGTCTCACGAAAGTTATAACTGTGAAAAGCTCAAGTAGTTTCAAGTTACAAATATTAACAGCGTTTCTCGATTATTCTAGTGGGTAGTTTTAAATATAATATATGTATTCAGCAGCTCATTTGATTTAAATAAACAAGTAAAGCAATTAATTGATATAAAACACCGTCATTACGGATTAATTATTAGCCACTGCCAGAAGAACACGTAATTGAACACGTAAATGATTTATCCAGTTAGGCGCGTGTTAAGTGTGGGAGTGCCATGCTTTGGCACGAATGAGTCAGCTCGACCGGAGTGATACCACTGCCTCACAGAAAACCGGCGTGAAATAACCACAGTTTTATGTTTCGCCGTGTGAGCGAGGTTACCGGAGGCCTAATCCTCCCCTCCCCCAATCCCTAAATCTCCATATCTCTAATCCCCAAAAGGTCGACAACGCACTCGTAACTTCTCTGTTGTTGCGGGTGTTCATGGGTGGTGCTGATTGCTTACCATCAGGTAATACGTCTGCTCGTTTTCCGACCTATCACATAAAAAAAAACTAAATATTTTTTTTCTTGAATTTTTTAAGGAAAATAAAGAAACTACCTATACATATTAAACACTCGCGTTTCATATTAACAACATAAATTACGCGAATATTAACGCGAAAATAATTATTTAAATACCTTGGTAGGTAAACGGGCGTGAAACAATCAAAGCGTCATATTTTTCCCGGAGTGCGAGTTTTCCGGAGACCGCATTCGTTTCACATCCAAAAATCCCTTAATATTTAATTCTAGAATGCTAGCAATGCACTTTTGTCTTATTATTGTGAGTGTCCATTGACAGCTCCGATAGCTTACCACCAGGTGGCCCGTCGTTTTCAAAATCCTTAATGATGTTAGAATTGTTTGAACATTAACATTGTGTCGCTTAATTAGAAGCTAAAGGTATTACAAGCGTACCCGGGCGTTGTACACTGTATAGCTAGCTGCCAGACTATGTTTGTTTATGTGTTATTGCACTTCGGTAGGTATACGGCATGCTGTAAGCGGACGCGGGAGCGAGAGCGTAAACTTTTGTGCAGTCTGCACAGTTTAGGGTCTGAAAATAAAAATTGAGTCATTACGACCACAATATGTTTTTATAATAACTATCGTGAGACATACTAAATTAACTAAAAATCGCGGGTTACTCACGTGTGTATATTGAGAAAAGCTCTACTAGTATCGAACCACAGAGGTGTTCTTCCTCATGAGCAGCGTGCGCGGACGCGGCGACGTCGCGCAGCCTAACTAGTAGAGCTTTTCTCAATATATACACGAGAGTAACCCGCGATTTTTAGTTAACGACCACAATATATTTTTTATGTGGTAGTTCGGCAAACGAGCAATCAGATTACCTGATGGAAAGCAATCTGATCAAACGGAGGAGTTACGAGTGTGTTGCCAAACTTTTGGGGATTAGGGATTTGGGAGTGTAACATCACTCACAATGCGAAACTGCTATGCTTGTTTCACGCCGGTTTTCTGTGAGGCCATGGTATCACTCCAGTCGAGCCGACCCATTCGTGCCAAAGAATGGCTCTCCCACAATTAAAAATAAATTGTAGCACTTAGTTAAAGATTTGAGTATTTATCTAACGAAGCCATTTTTTTTCAACTGTCTCTTTATACTGAATCAGTCTCTATTTCCGTATATGACACAGAATATTTGTGCAGATTGTACTTGCTTAAATGAAATAAATACTTAGATCTTCAAAAGTATTTTTCAATAAACTTACAAGTGTGGAAATAGATTTTATGATTTATATATTCTTGATTCAACATGATTTCAATAATTTGCTAGAAAATAAATAGAAGGGTTCCCAATCTAAAAAGAAAATTTGGTTTGTAACCGTTGTCAAATAAAGATCAGGTAGTTGTATTCAACTTATAGTTGTATGTTTGTTATTCTGTTACGCAAAATTGGCTGGCGATATAGTTAAAATCTAGTATATAGATAGGTGAGAAACACGTAGGCTGCTTTATCAACATACTACGCGGGCGAAACCTCGCGCCGAAGCTAATCACAACGAATATAACAAATGCGAAAGTAGCTCTGTCTGTCTGTCTTTTCACGCCTAAACTACTGAACCTATTTGTGTGAAATTTGGTACAGACATAGTTTGGAACTCAAAAGGACACAAGATAGTTATTAAACCAGAAATCTACAGGAAGCCACTATTCCACGCGAAAAAAGTCGCGGGCAAAAGCTAGTGTCTTTTAAAGCACTTTTGATTTACAACAACGCTGATCCTCATTTAATATGTCCTCTACCTAACCGATTGCGTTGAAAACGCTCCCCAGACCTAGGTTCAAAGCTTTGGTGTGTGAGGCGAGAAAACCGCATGCAACACACGGAGCGAGCACTCTATACCGGTACCTGTTGTCTGTACCATATAAACGATCGGGTTAACGATGTATTCAAGTGGTATGCAGTATAAGGAATACTTCGTTAAAGCAAGGAATACTCGTTATATTGTAGACGTTTATGTTTAATCCTTAAGATTGAATTTATAAGTCAAAAAAGGAGCCAAAATGATTACATTTCTTACAGGCACTTTTGAACTTTAAACAAAAGTGTTTAAGATATAAAGTGCCAGTATATTGGGCAATCCTCTTAGTGAAGCCATTTGTTCGTTCCAAAGTGTGGATTCCGATGGAGAAGAACGAGCAGGAAACTCGATGGTTACTCTATTTCCACCACTTTCACATAGGTAAAGTCCGGTCGCGGAGCAGGAAGAAATTCGTACAATGGCCTGTTATTACCTGTCTCTGTCACTCTCGCGTAAATATGATGCGTCTCGCTCGCACAAATCCAATGACCGCGGCACTCAGGGATTGTGAACCTTTAACCTACTACTGTAAAGTCTGTTTTTGTTTGTTTGTGGTTGTGGTTTTTGGTTGGCCTTAAGTCATGACATGGCTTACTTGACATAATTTATAAATTTTTAAATTCCATCTCGGGATGCGTTAGTGATCGCTCAGTTTTCGGACAGTAATCTCAGTTATCTTAGTTTGTTGTTATTTGTTAGTTCTCTTTTGTTAGTTCTCTTTCTGTTTTGTTATTAAAATTAACAATAAAGAAATAATTTATTTAATAGTTTATATTTTTTTTCTCCTTCAAATATTATAAACTGCACTTTATACAAAAATGTTTGTGACCACTGTCAGTAGGTAAAGAGGTCATTGTACGAATTTCTTCCTGCTCCGCGACCGGACTTTACCTACATTATTCTTTGTTACATTATTGAGTGTTTCGATTGTTGCTGAACTAACTGACTAAGTAAACTATTAAGTTATGAACCGATTTATCACGTTTTGTGACATAAATACTTTAATAAAAATATCAAAACTTCAAACGCGAAAATGTGTAACATCAGTTTTTATTCCGTAAAGCCGCGTTCACAGTAAAGCGACCGAGTATAAAAATACAACTTGTTATCGTATAATGTGGTGAAACTAAAAAAGTAGAGAGCATAGTTTATCCCAGATTTTCTACACCCAACAAGAACGGAGTGGAAACAAAATTAAAAACAAAGTTGCGCAGTACGGCACATTTGTATGGTCGCCATTTTATTTTAGCAAGCTCAAAACCATTCTAGTGCTATAACAGAACTTCTGTGCGCCGCGGAATATTCTCGACCCGTCCTGAGTAGATAATACTTAACCCTAGGGAATGTAACTAATTAATATATAGACTTCATTTGTTATATAAATACTACAGTGACCTGGAAAATATTTATTACTCATGTTAAAAGGAATATGGTCTGTTTACACAGTTGGGTTGAAAAAATTGACTGTTTAACAAAAGGACTTG